GCTTTTAGAAAGAATTGATAATAATCAATTCCTCTAATATGTAGAATATTAAAATAAACTCATAATAACATTAATTCAAAGGGTTTTTTATTATATTTCTGCAACTAAATATTATTTTTCTGATAAACTCTATTGGTCTCTCTTGCTCCATGGTAATATTATCTTTTAACTCCATTTTATGGTGGCATTTTACTGTGTCAGAGTAAACAACTCTGGACAACTCAGGACAGAATTTATTCAGAATCTTATGAACTTACAGAGAATCAGTAATACAAAGCTTTCTTTTCTGTCTCAAATAAACTATACATTATTATATATTATTATATATATTATTATTTATTATATTAATAATAAAATTTACCCAAAATTAAATAAGCAATGAGATAATAAGGGGCCATGCTTCCTTTCTTTTGAAAGATGTGGAGAAAAATGAAGAAGAAAAAAATAAATTAGTAAATAAAAAGGAAAACTAAATCTTTCTCTTTAAAGAATTCAGTACTCACTTGAACAGGGGCAAAAGACTTTTACAAAGAAATGATAAAAATCAAGTTTTCTTTTACAAATATAAAAGGCAGAAAGAAGTCCTAAGATCAACAAAAGATGTAACTCAAAAATCCTCACTGCGGGTGAGCCCTGGTGGTTTACATGGGCGAAGTTTAAGGGCGAAGGAACAGTGACTCTGGGAAGAGAACTGATACCCAAGTAGAATAGGGCAAGGCAGAAGGGGCAGGGTTAAAATTCCATAATGAACATGAGTCTGATTGTTGATGAAATATGAAAGTTCATGGAATATTATATCTGCTGGGTTCAAAATGTAAGTGTGTGGATGACTCAATTTTTCAGAATTGATTCTCAGGTAAATTATTAGTGCATGGATGTTACTGCCATTCTACCATTTTAATTGATTTTAAATGTTATTATATATTTTAACTTAAGCTTCAAATTACTCTGGCATGTCATTCTTTGCCATATTATCTCAGCACAATTGTCTTCCATTACACAGAGAGATGATGGGGATAGCCATTGTGGAAAGAGCCATTTTTTCAAATGTGGCTGTGTGTGCATTTGTAGTCATTAGAACTCTTTGCATTTAAGAAGCATCACTCACAAACTAAATATAATGAGCCGAGGCTGGATTTTAATGGGATGTTCATTTGAATATGGTCTGTGAAAGAGTAAAAGAATTTGCATTTTATTATAGCTGTTGAACTAAAATGTAGCACTTGTTATTACGTGCAAATGCTAAACGAGAAGTGTGTAGGTAATGCTTTTTAACTGCATATCCTTGTCATTGTGTGGAGATACAAGTCTGACATTAGCTGTGGTAGGTATGTTTTAATGAGAACTGGAATATTCTACTCTCAAAAGATTTAGTTACCAATTAGCTGGACGATGAGAACACAGTATTCATCATGTATTTTTTCCCTTGCATTAAGTACTAAAAAAGGAACAGTGAGACACGGAGGAATATGACCTATAGAAACCTTCTCGACTGTAAGAGTGAAATACTGGAAAGCCCATTTTTACCTCTGTTTAAAGACAGTCACCTTACAGATAAAGAACAATATTTTCATTTTGGCATTTATCAAAAGTGATACTAAAAGCTTAAATATCATTACTAAAACTCACTCTCATATCACTATCATCATTAGCACATTCCTTTTTATTCCTTTAACTTTAGATAACTTTTGCATGTTTTCCATCCTCGTCCTTTTACCCGTAACCAAGTGCTTTAAAAAGAGATGAATGTGTCAACACCCACTATCACCTATGTATCACCTTGCACACTTGGCTGAAGACAAGCCCCCAGGAGCTGGCATCTCAGAGAGACTGCTCAGAGCCTGTCAGGAGGCTCAAAGTTTGTTTGACATCATCAAGCACCCACCTTTAATTACTTCTTTCAAACACTACCAGGGATCTTGACTATTAAAGCACACCCTTTAATTTAGAGATACAGTGAAAATGCATTAACCTCCATGGCCCAAGTCTTCCTTTAGCCCAGAGAATGATTAGACTGTTTTTATGCAAAGAGAGTTGGCATTAACTTTTTAATAATTTCCATTTTGTTCAAAGCAGGTTAACAATTAATTTACAATCACTAAAAAGGCTAAAAACAGTTGTATTCACTTATTTTTCTTTTGAACTTGGCAACATTTTTCTACTTAAAGCAATAATTAATTTCTGTGTCTCAAAATTAAAGTTAAAATTACATATATATAAATTATATTAATAAGTTAAATGTTATTTATGAGTGTGTTTGTGTAGATAAGTGCCACAAAAATAGTCATTCTTCCTTTTTGGTGTATATATATCAGATAAAGAA